CTATGATCAAAGCTACGGAACTCGTTCATTATGATGATAAGAAGCCTATAGTGTTAGCAGTAGATGCATCTAAGTATGGAATCGGCGCAGTAATTTCACATCGTTATGCTGATGGTTCAGAGAAGCCAATCGCGTATGCTTCAAAAAAATTAAACAGCAGCCAAGAACGCTATTCTCAAATCGAAAAAGAGGCATTAGCAATAATTTATGGAGTGACCAAGTTTCATCAATATCTTTATGGAAGACGTTTTGAATTAATAACTGATCATCAAGCGTTGACAACACTGTTTAATCCGAATAGAAAGTTGCCAGTGATGGCGTTGCATCGTTTACAGCGTTGGGCTATTGTACTTCAAGCATATGAATACATTATACGGTTCAAAAGTTCATCTCAGAATGCTAACGCTGATGCTCTTTCCAGATTGCCGTGTGGGGATGACATACAATTTGATAGAAAGGAAGTTGTGATGTTAGATGATGTCGATACTGTTTATCAAAATGCTGTGGATTATCTTCCAGTAAATGCAACATTAGTAAAGGATATGACTGCTAATGACAACACTCTTCAACGTGTCAGCAGATATGTACAAGATGGCTGGCCTGAACAATTGCCGAAATCTGAAGGTAGTATCAAACCGTACTTTAATCGCAGATTTTGCTTATCATTTCAGAATGGAGTGTTACTTCTTCAGGCTGAATATACTAGAGTGGTGCTACCGAAAGCACTGCAATCTCAAGTATTAAATTTGTTACACGAGGGTCATTGGGGTAAAGGTCGTATGAAACAGATGGCAAGACGATATGTGTGGTTTCCTCTTATTGATAAAGCCATAGAACGTATTCATGATGATTGTTCATCTTGTCAACAAGGTGCAAGTCAACCAAAGCGAGAATTTTCTGCATGGCCAGAACCTAGTAGGCCGTGGGAAAGAGTTCATTTGGATTTCGCGGGTCCATTCTTTAAACGTATGTGGCTCATAGTTGTGGATGCATATTCAAAATTTCCATATATTGTGGAACTATCAACAATAACAGCTGTAACAACAGTTGGAGCTCTACAAAAAATTTTTTCTATCGAAGGTCTTCCGTACACTATCGTGACAGACAACGGAACACAATTCACGTCCAATGAATTTCAAAAGTTTTGTGAAATGAACACAATTCAGCACCTCACGTCTGCTCCTTTTCATCCGGCTTCGAATGGGTTAGCGGAAAGACATGTGAGAACTTTTAAGGAAGCAGTAACAAAAATTATGAAAGAGGAACAACATATTGACAAAGCGTTGTATAAATATCTTACAACGTATGGAACTACTCCAAACTTAGCAACTGATAAATCGCCAGCAGAGTTGTTACATGGGCGGCAACCAAGAACCATTTTATCGGCGTTGTTCCCGAAAGTTATGGAGACTATGAAAACTCAAAATAGAAATAAATTCGGAGTTGGAGAGAAAGTGTTAGCTCGTAATTATTCGGGATCGCATAAATGGATCAGAGGCGTGATACAGAAATTGCTGGGAAATAAAATGTATTTTATTCAAACTGAAAATGGTTACATAAAACGACATCAAAATCAAATACGTCGAAATTTATCGTCATCGCATTCAAATCAGCTTAGGGCAGATAATATTGATATTGATTTAGATTTCGGTATTCGGACACCACCGGTTGAGGAAACAACAATTACTACGGGATCCGACCCGGAACATAGTCAAACAGAGAAAGACGACAAAATGGGGACCGATGAAACAATAATCACTACTGGATCTGACTTGAAACAAAATCAAAGAGAGAAAGACGACAAAGCGGAGTCCGACGACAGATATGGGTCCACACACACTGATCAGTTGCCAGTTCAATTAAGACGGTCGGTTAGAAGGAGAAGACAACCTGTTCGTTTTAATCTAGAATAAACAAAATTCAATGTCATGTTAAACATTACTTTAGTGGTTTCAAAAATTAGGTCCAAGAGAATGTTGGAAATGTATAATCATAATTGAATAGTAGGCTATTCTTATTTGATTAACTGTATTTAACATTTTGTAAAAATATAGAAATAGATTAACTTTTGACTTCCGATAAGAATAAAGTTAAATTGTAAAAACACAAATTAACAGTTACTAACTTCAACAAGTTTGGCGAGGAGAGCAGTGCTGGAGTCAGGCTCACAGTGTGGTGCCCGAAAGAAGACGCGGAGGCGATTAAGACCGCAGGGGGTAGGCTCAACTGTGGTCTTGATCAAGCCAAAGTGAAATTCTAAAGGGATGCACGACGAGCAAGACAACGCCTCTGGTATGGGGCTAGCGGGTCTGTGTAGACTGTTAGGGAGGCGGGTGGGCCCATACCAGAAAAACATAAAGGTTGAACAACTGAATATTCATCACAGTAAAGCAGCATCAGCAATGATCCTGCGACACTTTGACGAAGAAAAGTTGGACATACTACTGATTCAAGAGCCCTGGATTGTTCAAAACGCTATTATGGGACTTGGTACATCAGTTGCCACGCTGTTCTTTCCACAGGCAGCTGGTAAAATAAGGACATGCATAATGGTGAGGAAGGGGATACAATGCATCCAATTGCCTCATCTATGCTCACCAGATCTTACTACGGTAAGAGTAGGGAGTGATGCAAATACCTTTATCGTGGCGTCAGCCTATCTACCATACGACTCTACTGAACCACCTCCCAGTCAGGAGGTAATCAGACTGATGGAGTATTGTAGGACGAAAAGGCTAGAAATTGTCATAGGATGTGATGCGAACGCACACAACATTGTGTGGGGTAGCAGCGATAATAACAACAGAGGGGAATCTCTCCTCGAGTTTGTTGAAAAATACAATCTGATGATTGTAAACAGGGGGTTAGAACCTACCTTCGTTGACGCACGAAGGTCAGAAGTTATTGACCTAACCCTGTGCTCAGGCGCAATGACACAGAAAATTGAGAAATGGAGGGTCGCTGATAGACTAACAATGTCGGATCATCGGGCTATACATTTTGAAATACTCTGTCGTCCGAAACGCACTAATAGTCAGAGGCTAGTAAGAATTCCTGAGAATACGAATCAGGTAACTTACTTGACGTTGTTGACGGAATTATTACAAAACAGGCCGTTGAGGAAACTCAAGACCACATGGAATGTAGAGACAGAAGTCAAAGCAATTACTGCTGCGATGATTAATGCATTCGAAAACGCTTGTCCCCAAACTAGCATTGCAGAAAAGTCATCGACACCTTGGTGGAGTCAGGATCTTGATGTAATAAAAAAGGAGACAAGGAAAGCCTTTAATAAATACATGAGGGAGAAGAACTCCGAATCATGGGACTTGTATAAGGCCAAAAAGCGTGAATTTAAGAAAGCACTACGCAACCGGAAACGGGAGTCGTGGAGGAATTTCTGTTCGAGCATGAAGGGGACCTCTGAAGTAAGTCGGTTACAAAAGATGGTCACCAAAGATCCGGTCTCAAGACTTGGTTTAATCCGAAAGAAGGATGGTACAATGACGGAGACAGTAGGTGAGTCATTGAGTACTCTCATGGAGATCCATTTTCCAGGAAGCTTCAAATTTGATGATCACTGGCCATCTCCCAAAAGGGGAATGAACAGAGAGGAAAGATTTGATGCAGAACGGATAGTGACCATAAATGCAGTTAGGAATGCCATTTTGACATTCGCTCCATTTAAGTCACCGGGGTTGGATGGCATATTTCCAGCACTCCTGCGATGGGGAATTGACCTGCTCGCAGTTAGGCTCACGGAGATATTCAGGACGTCACTGGCAACAAGGTACGTCCCTAAAGCTTGGAGAGAGTCAAGGGTGACTTTTCTACCAAAGCCAGGAAAAAAGGATTACACAGAAGCAAAGTCATTCAGGCCAGTTAGCCTTACCTCTTTCATGCTTAAAGCTATGGAAAAGGTAATAGTGGACTACCTAGAATGCACCACGCTAATGAAATATCCTTTAAGCAGATGTCAACATGCCTATAGGGCGGGGAGATCAACAGAGACTGCCCTGCACGAAGTCGTGAGGACAGCTGAGAGAGAGCTGACTTCAGGAGGCATTTCAATGGCCATCATGATGGACATCGAAGGAGCCTTTGACAAAGTAAGCTTTGATAAATTAAAATCTGCTCTAGCTGACCGAGAAGTCGGTTCAATCATTATTGGATGGATAGATTTCATGTTAAGGCAAAGAGCAGTAAACCTACAAAATGGAAGACATAGACTGAGAGGCAGAACAGTCAGAGGCTGCCCACAGGGAGGGGTGCTTTCACCATTTCTGTGGAACGTGACCATAGACTCCCTACTTCAACAGCTTGACTTCAAAGGCATACAAACAATTGGGTATGCGGACGATATAGCACTGATGGTGAATGGCAAGTTCCCAGACACCATTAGAAACGTGATGAGAGGTGCTCTCAAATGCGTCGAAAAATGGTGTAGGGAACAAGGCCTGGCCACGAAATCAGACACTATCCTCTTCACGAGGAAGAGAAGTCTGTCAATGGAGCCTTTACAACTTTTTGATAATAACATTCGCATATCAAAGTCGGTGAAGTATCTAGGTGTTATCCTAGATAATAAACTGACTTGGAATGAATATGTGGATGAAAAGATCAGGAAAGCGAAAAGAGCTCTATTTCAATGTAAGAGAGTGTGCGGAAGACGATGGGGGATATCCCCAAAATCGATGCACTGGATCTATACCATGATGGTCAGACCTATTATAACATATGCGTCAGTTGTCTGGTGGTGTAAAGTCACCCAAAAGACAATAAAGACGAAGTTAGATAGAGTCCAGCGACTAGCCTGTGTTGGAATAACAGGCGCTATGCGAACTACACCAACACCGGCATTAGAGGCGATGCTAGGCTTGCTTCCGTTGGATTTACATATAAAGAAAACGGCGGCACTGGCAGCAATTCGCATGAACCGGAGCTCCACGTGGAACAACTTCGGAAAATTAGTGGGCCATCGTAAGATTCTTGATCTCGTCCAGGCCGCGGTCAAGGAAACGCAGATGCCATTGGAGACTATGAGGAGGGTTTATGGGGCAGAAGTGTCCTACAGAACACTGATAGTAGACGGCCTTCTACATAATGAATGTGGAAGGAATGACATTTGCATATTTACCGATGGCTCCTTAATGGATGGCAGAGCTGGTGCTGGGGTTTACTCGAAAGAGCTAAATCTAACGTGCACTCTACATCTAGGAATATATGTTTCCGTCTATCAAGCGGAACTTATGGCGGTCTCACATGCTCTGGATCACCTATTGGATTGTCAGGTATATCAGAAAAAGATTCTGATAGCGCTGGACAACCAAGCAGTTATCAAAAGCATTCAAAAGCATGCAAAAGACATACATAACTAACAGCTTAGTACAAGAATGTGTAACGAAGCTCATGGAATGTGCTCATGGAAATGAGATGACGATCATGTGGGTTAAAGGACACATCGGTATTGAGCAAAACGAGAAGGCAGATGAACTTGCAAAGCAAGGATCAAGCCATAATTTCTGTGGCCCGGAGCCCAGAATACCATTGGGGTACAGCATGACGGCAGCCTATGTCAATAAGTGGATAATCTCACTTCATCTTAATAGATGGAGAGAGTTGAGCACTTGTAGACAGACCAAACTCATGTTACCTAAACCGTGGGCCAGGGAAGCGATAAAAGTGCTTAGCTATTCGCGGAGCACTCTAAGCTGGCTGACCTCACTAATTACTGGACATGGCAACTTCAAGTATCACCTCAAAAAGATAACTCTAGCTGAGGAAGACACTTGCAGACTATGTCTAGAAGAAAAGGAGACAGCGGTGCATATATTGTGCCAATGTCCAGCACTGGCAAGTAGGAGGAAGACTGTCTTGGGACACCATTGGGTTGGTGACGACTTGGCAGGAAACCTCAAGCTAAATGAGATGCTTGCATTAACAAAAGATGTAGTTATGCGAACGGAAGCCACTCCAGCTTTAACTCAATAACAACATCCGAGAATCGAAGGACGAAAAAGGACCCAAGTCGTTTCGTGGTCTACTTCGACTAATCCTTCACTTCAGTGGGGCCACTTGTTGGACAGTGCGCTGTCCCAACGTCCCACCATATATATATATATTCATTTTAATCTTAAATTATAAATTAAAAATAAATAATAATAAATACTAAATGTTTATATAAAACAAGAATGAATTATAAGAAAAATTTATATTCACATACTATATGTATGTACATATACATATATATGCTGTATGTAGTGATATGCTGGATGATTGCATACGCATTATAAAAATGCATGAAACTTTTTTTTTTTTGCTTCAGGATTGCATATAACCAAGTGCATAATTATCAAATGGCGACAGACAGACGTTTTATACATATTTTATACATATTTGAATGCATTGTTTAGAACGAATTGAAATCAATGTATATATGTACATAAAAAATAAGTAAAACCAATTAATACACATATTTAATAAAAAAATACTTATTAATAATTATTATAAGCATATAAAACATAAAGTTGAAGATTGCATGCGCATAGAAAAAAATGCACGAAACTATTGTGACGCCAGCTCTATTTTATACCTATGCACATACATACATAGTCTGATTAAAAGTAAATACTTGTAAAAGCAAATATAATCATATAAAATTAAAATAAATGAAAAATGTGATTGCTTTTTAATTTTTATGGATAAAAATTAACATGTAAAATATGAAAAGTACATCAACATAAAATTGTATATTTTTTATATTTATTTATTGTTTTATATCTGATACGAATTTTATAATTTGTCTAATTGACAGATTCTAGTACATTGTATCTATTTATAGTTCACTAAATAAGTTTTAATTTTATTTTATCTATTTATATATTTTCCTTATTTTTTAATTTCCATTAATTAT